TATTTTCTATAGTTGTGGGTTCGATTTGTGGCAGGGTCAAACATATGTCTTTCTGAGTATGATTATTTGTATCGATCTGGGTCTATGTACATTTTATATTCTCGTGTCATAATGTTAGTTACATTACACAATCGGGAGGGTATCTCCCGAAACAGCTTATCCGATTTTTATGATTTTTTATACGCATATTCTGGTCTATTGCCGCATGCATTCTTATGAAATGTGTGAATACTATAACTATCAAATGGCATTTGTGAGTAGTTATGACGTGGTTTGATGTTTTGAGTAATCATACTCACTAAAATGTCCAGACTTGTGGCGGCGTGGTGGGCCGGGTCATTGGGCTCCCTAAAATATGGTCGATGGTGATGGCTGGCTCATCCGTCATATTCGTGTACGGGTGGAGCTTGTAGGGACTGGTCTGCTCTAATCACTATGACTGATTTCCTCTTATTAATTGTTTAACCTGTTGTTGTGTATTCAATATTTTTTTTATTTGATTATTTAATTGAATTAGTGCTAATCGGTAGTTGAATGTGTGTAAATACACACACACTTAAACTTAAATTGTAAAGTAAGAATAAAATTATTTATAAGAGCAACACACAAGTTTCTTACTCGTTCTTCTTGTGATGAGACAGCTTTCCGAATGAGCGGTAGATTAAAAAAATGTGATTTTATTCAAAAGTGCTTCAATGTAACTTTATTTCAATAAATGATTTTCTATTATATTCTAAATAAAAACATCTAAACTGTCAAAAATCAGAGATCTTTAGAATTATACTTGTATGAAACCGGGGCGTGTCACTAGTGTTATATAAATGAAACGGAAACAATAGGGTCACCAGCATCTACTTTCGACTTTCGTTTTTTCCTCACTTTCATAGTGAAGTGATTATTTACACTTGTTAGGGATGATCTCTTGCGTAACGATAAATTCACCTGAAATGTATCGAATCAGATATTCTACGTTTACAGGTCACAAATTTGAACTTTAGGGCCATGTAATTATGAATTCATTTATTGTGTTACATAATTACGCAGTGCAACAAACCTATGCCTTAAAACTCCTTCAACGCTAACTCATTCTCTGTGCACGCCGTACGACTGTGGAACTCACTACGTATGGAAAATGGTAGTGCATTTTCCATACGGAGTGGGCAATCACTAATCACTACTCCATTTTGCGCCATCCACCACATGTCTTTTCTCCTCTACCCAAACGTTGTCTGGAAGAGATCGCATAAGCGATAAGATCGCCTTTTCTCATAATCTAAATATTGTTTTCTTTTGTATATATATATATACAACAAAGTTTTTGTCACGTATTAATATTATAATTATTTTATTTTTATTTATTTATTATTCTTTATTAATAACAAAATAATAACAAATATGTATATGTTATTATTTTGCTATTTTGTTCGATAATTGAATAAAACATAAAATAAAATCGATTTTAGTGATTCTAAAGATATAATAAAAAAGTGTACGTACAAATGATGTTTTATATATATGTTAGCATTATTTTAAAACAATTAGCATAATTTTGGGAAAAATTTAATAACAGTTTAGCAATATTTTTTATTGTCGTAATAGCAACGCTGTACATAGTACTATACGAAGTTCTCACAAAGTTGTTTCACGTTATTTGTAAATTAAATGACTTCTTCGGCGTTTTTATTATTGTATTAGTACATTGAGGGATTGCACACAATCGATACACATTGGGATTCATGATTATTGCGCTTAAATCTTCAAAAACTTTCAACAAACAAACGTATAACTGTACTATAAGTTGTCAAGTGTTTACGAATGGTTGACGTCACATGCGACGCCATTGCTATTCTAGCGTTTTGGCGCGAAATTTAAATTGTATTTTTTAAAAATGAATTTTTGATCAGTCTTAAGTTTTTTTTAAAATATGATTTATTTTGTATAAAGATAAAATACAAGAACATCGAGGGGAGTTTTTTAAAAATCAGTCATCATGCCTATTCACTAGCGCCATCAAGTGCCAAGCTAAGTGTTACTGAACAACTGATATAAATACTTAGATTTTTTTTATATGTACTATATAATATCTTATATATAAAATTCTCGTGTCACAGTTTTCGTTCCCATACTCCTAAACGGCTTGACCGATTCTCATGAAATTTTGTGAGCGTATTGAGTAGGTCTGAGAATCGGCCAACATCTATTTTTCATTCCCCTAAATGTTAGGGGTAGTCCACCCTTGAATTTTTTTTTATTTTAAGGCAAAACAACGTGTGCCCAGACAGCTAGTATATATATATATATAAAAGATCCTGACCGATTTAAACAATCATACGCATGAATATAAATGTTTGTACCGTCCGAGGAAGCGACCCCGCATCCATCGAAAGAAAAGCAGTGCTTAACCAATACATAACCGAGGCAATCGTATTGTAACTACAGTCACCTTTTTCGGACAACAAATTTAATTTAATTTCAAGCAAAACCGAGGTGCAACGTTAGTAGCGATAAAGATATTCTATGAAATAGGTCGCGCGTGTAGCGTCAAATAAAATGAAACGAGAAACTACCTATTTTCTGAACGAGATGTCTCTCACACTTATTAGATTCAACTAATACATTTTCATTATAATTAGGTGCAGTCTTACTGGCGTCAGGTTTTATGACTTTGTATGGTTTATGTATTATCCTATGATTGAAGTGTTAGTGAAATTAGCATATTTTTATTAATTAATGATAATTGTTAGATATGTTGCTAGGGGCTGTATATTCAGATTTGTTATGTATATAGGTATTTTTATTATAATAACAGTAAATTGCAGACATAAATAGTATAAATTATTTAATAATGAAGAGCACAACAGTAAAGTTGGATTCCGTCTGATGTGTCGTGTCACAACGCGACAGTACGGTATCGGTATAGTACATTTAGTATGGTAACGTTTTTTTTTTTTGGATGATAATGGAATGTTGCACCCGCCTGCGCTAACGGTTTACGCTGGCGGGGCACCAGTGGAGGATGATAAGATGAGATGGGGTCAACAGTCCACATTACTAACAATCCCCTTTCCCCCTAGTATGGTAACGTTCGTACTAGTAATGCTTAATGTGTTGTGATGGCTGCGTTGTGTCTCATCAGAAACGATCCGGGCTGTTTAAGAGCGGTGGGGTGTGGTAACAGGGCGTCATGACACGTCAGACAAATGTACAAGCCCCAGTGTTGTGTTGTGACGCGTCGGTATGTCAACTTTCCTAGAGCTACTGTATTGATTTGAATCAATATCGTTCGAACGCCTCAGAATATGACATGTATATATGAAAATTGGTCATCACATCACGACACATCAAACCTATATAAATCCACCTTAAATCAGTATATCTGCAGAAGAAGCCATTTTGTAGTCTTTTTATTTTTTTCGCGCAAACGTAACGCGCCACAGATGCACAATATGTGGCGCGCAGCCGCAGTAGGATCACGAGCGCGTCATAGCTGTATGCGATATTTTGATGAATGTAAATTTGTATGTATGAATAATAATACATTTATTCATTTTTACACAATATCATTAATTTATAGCCCGTAACATCTGTGCTGTGTTACAGATTCCACAAAGGTTGGTTCAATTACACAATTTTTAATAATGAAATTCCTTTTCTAATGGCATACGCTGCAGTACTTACAAGATGATTGGATAAAGACAGATGCGTAAATGTATCGTGACAAAACCAGGAAATCACAAGGATAGTTTCCAGGGTAACACAAATCCCTTTCTATACAAAACGTGTTACAATAAAAATTTCCATCGCAACTTTGAGGCAACTAAAAAGGTTTGCTCTAGTCAGATTTTCATGACACAAGTTCATTTTAGAATTACACGTACCTGAAAATCTCGATTTTAACGAATAAAAGGACATTCATAAGAAAGTATAAAAATTGAAAGATTATGGAAGTCAATGGAATTATAATGAATTTTCAAAATAACTAAAAATACCGTTCTATTTAACGTAATAATAGAGTAAGCAGAGTAGTGCGGAACAGAAATATTTACGGTTAAATTACGATTGAAAGTATTACTATTGTATACATACACCGAAGCACGGGTGAGGGGAGACTAAGGTCTCTGAAAATAAATAGAACTAATATTGAAGAATATGTAGGTAACATAGTAATTTAATTGCATGAATCTCCTCTTCAAGATCTGGTAAAATATCTATATGGCGTGATCCACAAAACCCTCTTCATCAATTAAGCAAACTTCATCTCTTGAAGAGCCGTTGAGGTGGGAACAACCTGTTCGTTACCTATATAAAAAAGTGCACTTAAATTCAGTATCATTTCCTTTTTAAGATTACTTAAAATTTAGATAGTAATTTAACTGTAAGTTACAGGAAAAGTACAGTAATATTCGGTATAATTTCCTTTTAAAAATCGGTCTATATTTAGGTAGTAATTTTGATATGTACTAGGTAATACGGAAATGACTGTTATGCACAAGTAAGTGGTTAATTACTAACTGTCATTGCGTTACACGATCTCTTATATTAGGTCCTAACGTACGAAATTAGCGTTTTGTAAGGGAGTAACCTAAAGTCGATTTTTTCAAAATATAATATATTTATTCAATCAAAGTATAATATAAAAAAATATATAAATACCAATGGTACATCATTGCTATTTATGTACTTTTGCCATCTCATAGGTAGTTCATTGATTCCTTCACTAAAAAAAACCATTCAGACGAGATTCAAATAAGGCGCTTTGGACTGCCCCATCGGAGTTGATTTTTTCCCTTGCTATAAGTTATCCAAATTTCGAAAAAAATGGTAATCTGTTGGAGTAAGGTCCGGGGTGTACGGTGGATGTCTTAGACATTCCAATTGAAGGTAACATTATTAGGAGGTAGATAAAACAATAGTGGTAGGTAGGTAGGCAGCTACACATCAAATTTCCTTTGTATGTTTACAAATTTACATCGTTCTCTATTTTGAATTATATGTTTCAGGGGGTGGCCGTGAATACAAATCCAATCATTTTGAAGAACATTCCGAACATGGCAAGAAGGCATATGAGGTGAGTTTGTGTTTTCCTCCATATATGTTTTAAGTTTTTTAATTTTAGGTTCTTAGTTGTACATTTAAGTTATGTAAATACATTATCTGTATTAATTCAAAATATCTTTATTCAAGTAGGTCTAATGCAGACTCTTATGATATGTCAAATTTACCGTCAGCTCGAAATGATTTCGACTGACGACGAACACTGATTTGACTTTTTGCTTTTGCAATTCAAAAACAAAAAGTCTAATCAGTGTTCGTAACCTAAACAGACTAGAATAGAATAGAATATTATTTACTCAAATAAACTTCATTTAAGCACTTTTGAAAAGTCATAGTTAATCTAGCGCTCATTCTAAAAGCTGTCTAATCGCAAGAAGAACGAGCAAGAAACTTGCGTGTTGCTCTCTTAAATAATTGTAACTTTACATTTTTAAGTGAAAACGTGTGAATACAACTGTACAAAGTGTAGACTTTACTAACATGTACCTCTGTTTCCTACAAGCAGTTTCCAATGTAAGACTTATAATATAAGCTATCCTATCTTTTAAGTTGGATCCAATTGCACACAATGTTCAAATCAAATTTACAATCGGTTCAGTAGTTTAGGAGTTCATCGCGGACAAACGTGACACGTAATCAGTACATGGTATAAAATAAAGTCTCTACCGCTGTCTGTCCCTATATATATGCTTAAATCTTTAAAACTACGCAACGGATTTTGTAGTAGTGTTTTTTAATAGATAGAGTAATTCAAGAGGAAGGTTTATATATATATATATATATATATATATATATATATAATACATGCACACCCGTACGAAGCCTGAGTCAGTAGTATTTTTATATATAAAGATGATTACACTTATATCTTTATAGTTTACACGACACACCCCTACCCGATTCACTGTCAGAACACGTGCTCATAACAACTATTATAATGTATTATTAGAATGATATTAGCTATATGTTGTTTACATATATATCTACTCTTGTATACGGATACACAGTAAATATCTAATCAATCAACGGATTAGGTTAGGTCATATAAATTTTATAATTTTAAACACGTTCAAAGGTTTTATTTATATATTTTAAGTGCAAAAATGATAGATATTTTTTTAATGGAAGATAATGGAATGGGGCGCTCGCCTGCGCTAACGGTTTACGCTGGCGGGGCACCAGTGGAAGATGATAAAATGTGCATGAAGTCAAGTCAGTCTATGTTGGCAAATGGAATTTACCACGATGCTTTCTAGGAGGTTCGAGTGGGGGTCAACATTGCTAGTAAAGGGGGTATTAGTCCACGTTACTAAACATAAAAAAGTGGGCAATAGATTAAAACCTATTGCCCACTTAGAGAGAAGATAGAATAGTTAATGGTAGGATGAACTTACGTACATTATAATTGAAGGAAAGGATGGAAGGAGAAGACCAATATATAGCTATAATACAATCTATATTAGGTAAATAAAATAGAAGTCTTTATGTATGTATTTGTAATTTCAAAGTAACAGCTTTTTACTAAATGCATATGAAACATATAGAATTTTTTTTCTGTCATTTTGTTTGTTTTTGCTAATCTCTGAAACGGGATTTTTAGCTGAACATTTACTCGCATACAGCTAATGTTACAAATATGAACTCTAACATTTTCATACATAAAATAATTTATTTCCATCTGCACTACATTATTTTTTTCTTACATATCTACCATATAGCAGAGACGTGATTCTACAGATAATAAAAATATCAATTGTAGCTATATATTAAGGATTATAAGCTTAAAGTAAATACTCATATGATCTTACACAATCATAAAAATTACAACATTATATTTGTTTACCAATCGTCTTGCAAAGTATGGAATCTATCAATGAGAATGATTACATTTTTTATACAATATTTTCTTGAAAGTTTTCTATTGTATTGTATAAAAAAAATAAACATTTCTCTTCGGACTACTCTAATGCTGTTGGCCGCAGCTGGCCTTTACAGCTTCACAGAACGATAGAGGGCGAGTGCAGTTGGTACTCCAAACTTGCGGAAGGACTTCTCGAGCGGCTAAAGGCTAAGAGGCCTCATATCTTAGTCCTCTAAAACAGCTATCAAAGCAAGAGTGGTAGCACAAGTTTCACATGATAATGTGATATCGATATTGTTATTCATGTATACATATGGCTATAAACTATGATTATCATGAGTATCATGATTATACATATAAACCTTTCCTTAAATGACTCTATTGATTATAACTGCAATAAAATCCGTTGCGTAGTTTAGAAGATAGCATACATACAACGGGAGTGACTCTGTTTTATATTATGTAAAGATTATATAACAGACTAGTTAAATCCCACGATTTTTTCCGCAAGGCATTAAAATAAATAACATTTCTAGAATAAAAGTAGTCTCAGTTACTTCTGATAACATTAGTTATCTGCAAATAAAAATCCCGTTAAAATCGATCAAGCCATATCAGAGATTACTAAGTACAAATTGACAGACAGATTTTTTATTAATTTAATAATGTAAGTACCATATTTACTTTCGTATGCATTTAATAAAAAACCCTGTTAATTTTAAGTTACAAATAGACACTTCAATATTATTTATTTGTACAGATGCTTTTTAAACACTTAGTTTTATCTTGCGCTGAGTGGTACAGAATGGTTAATGTAAGTGAAAAAACTCATAAGAATCTCGTTTGTGGTATAGAGTCTTACTTTATAATTATTTATTAAAAAATAAAATTAGTTTGTCTAATGGTGCAATCCAGATTACTATAATGTATGTATAATGTGGGAATTAAAAGAAAGCAAATTTAGCGTTGTTAGATCACGAATCCTTATAGAGTAATAAATAAAATAGAGAGTGGGCTGCATTTATTGAAAAGAAAATAATTATTGGAAAAGGAAGGAGAAATACGATTTCACCCAGGAAGAACGTCTTCCACACTCCGAACACCCTAAAATAAGCAATGTAACACCAAACTTACTCACCTTTGCTCAGGAACGGCCCGATGTTTAGTGGCCACGCACTCTAGAGTGTATATTTTCATAAAAACAATTATATTGTAATAATTATATCAATAATTTTCTTGCTTTATATGAATAGTTAAAATTACGGAGCATCCTTTTTATTCCAGTTCTTATTTTTAATTGTTTTTTTATTCTATATTCGAAATTTAAGTGGCCACATGTTTTTATATGTGGCCAGTATTACCAAGTACCCTTTGCTCCAGTAAGCAAGGCGGTGATACAACCTGCTTAGATTAAGGAAGTTCGGAATACGGGACAAGCGTTGTATGTATTTTAATGGCAAATCATTATAAAAATATTTAGGGGTGGGTCAACCTTATCATTATGAAGTAGATTTAGATCGATTCTCAGACCTAGCCGATATGCACAAAAAAATTAATAAAAATCAGTAAAGCCGTTTCGGAGGAATTTGGCGACAAACGCCGCGACACGAGAATTTTGTATATAGATATACAAAATTCTCGTGTCGCGGCATATATATAAAATAAAATAAAATTGGATTGTTTGTTTGTAATATTGAAATAACGTTTTTTACTACATGCATATGAATATAAATACACCAAAATAACATTTTTTACAATTTTTGTCTGACTATCTGTTTGTTACGGCTAATCTCTGAAATGGCTGAACCGATTTTGACGGGAATTTTTTTGGCAGGTAGTTGATGTAATAAGGAGTAACTTAGGCTACTTTTATTATAGAAAAATGAAGTTAAATTCCACGCGGACGAAGTCGCGGGTGCAGCTAGTAAGATGTAATTCTGGCTCAGTTTAACAAAACCTGTGTATGACAGACTTCTTAAAAGTTACATGCTTGTTTATTATTATGAAGTTTTACAAAATAAATTGTTGCAAGCAAATGTTAACATAATTTTAATATGAAACGAGAAAGGTTACCTGCTCTATATAGAGGCGGATGTAAATAGATTTATTTAAATATTCTCAGAACAATATCACGAATACATAAACTCGGATTTATATAATCTACGTAACGAAGAAGAAGGCTATTAACGGATATTACGATGGCCTCGGTTGGCTAGCGGTTTTAGCACATAGATTTGATTCCTCGCACGGTACAAACATTTGTGTTCATGAGTAAGATTGTTTGTATCGGTCTGAGTGTTTCCTATGCATATTATATATGTATTTATAAAAAAAAGTATTCACGTCAGTTGTCTAGTGCCCATAACACAAGCTCTGCTTAGCTTGGGATTAGATGGCGTTGGATCCATCTCACTAATAATATAAATGCAAAAAAATGTGTGAATGTATGGTAATGATTCTTTCATGTAAAGACTACTGAACAGATTTTAATGAAACTTTAAAGTAATATACCTTATACAGTAGAATAACAAATAGGCTATAAATTAAAAAGGTATTTTGTAAATAGGGCGAAATATAATTAAATATCAAGTTAATGTGATGCAGACGAAGTTACGTGGGTCAGCTAGTTTACATAGTGAATTATATTGTAGCCAATGTTGCTAACATCTTTATTGTTATTAAACAAAATTATTGTATTCAAATCGTCAAAGGCTATTGTTCCATTACTATGTTTTGATTATAGAAATCTGAGGATTGTTGAGACAATCGTCGTTTAATATTCGCAGGCCAAAAGAGACTAATAATTTAAACTAGTGGTCGATTTTTTCATTTATGTAGCTGGAATGGGAAATCATTATTTACCACAGTTATTATTTATACGAAAATTTAATAATAATTGGAATCTTACCACGTTTTATTCATTTTTATTCATTTTATTCCCGATATTTCGTAAGTTGTTTCAGTCGTAGCAACGAGGACGTTTGAATGTGGATGAATATAAGCCCATAATGTTATTTACTGTCTACCCGCTGCTATTTAGTTTACCCGTTATTATAGCGGTTATAACACTACCGAATATCGGGAACTCACTAAAAATAATTAAAACGTGATGATCCCGAATCCAATGACTGTGACTTTTCTTAATTATTAATATAATAATAATTATAATTTCAAGACAATTCGCACAGCGCCATCTATATATAAGTTAAGCTAACTAAAGCCTGTGTTATGGGTACTAGATATCCGATACAAATACATAGAATTATTTTTTCGTAAATACATTCATATTATACATAGAAATCACCTAGACCGACACAAATAATCATACTCATGAATATAAATGTTTGCTGTGCCAGGAATCGAATCCGCGACCATCGGAAGTAAAGCGGAAGTTAAACCGCTAGACTACCGTGGTCGTCAAAGTTAAACGGGTATTAACACTAATAATTTGAAGGTTTTTTTTATTTATTTACTATCTACCACTATCGTTTTCTCGTAGAAAACCGTAGTGGTAAATAGCATACAGTTAATTCGTGACTATGATACGCATGTTATAGTCATCGGCTGGGAGTTCATTCCACAATCTTAAGTGTACGCGGGAGGAAGCTCTTCTAAAACCACACTGTCCGAGACCACTTAGGTCCCAACGTGAGGGGATGAATTCCCTGTCGATTGCGAGCGGCAAGAATGTAAAAGGTAGCCGTGGACATCATATCGAACAATTCTTCAGAACACAGCTATATATTCGCTAGAACACGTTTTTAAAATATATGGAATCTGTAATAAATTATTTCACGGAAACAACAGCCTGTATGTTAAAATCTTAAAAAGTATATAAATTTAATTATAAATTCTACATTTTAATATCAATTCAAACTTTAATCATTTTGTATAAATTATTTTGTGAACTCTTAAGTTGATATATTGTTACCCCTACCATGATATTTTATGTCATGCTAGCTGAACGTGCAACCTCGTCTGCACAACACTTACATGATACATGACATTTATCAATCTATTTCGCCCAATTCACACAATAGCTTTTTAAATCAAGGCCTATATGTTATTCTGATGTATAAGCTATATGACTGTAAAGTTTCATCAAAATCCGTACAGTAGTTTTTGCGCGGAAGAGTACACAAACATGCATCCATTCATCCATACTCTATTAACTTTAACATTTGTAATATTAGTAAGTTTTTAAATTAATTACATACAGAATATTACTTTTATTTAATTAATTAATAACTAAATTAATAATTAAAAATATTACATTAATTAATTAATAATACAATACTATAAATTTTAGTGAAATTAGGTATATATAGGTACTTAATAGTTATCTTTTTCGGCATATGCAATGTATATTTAAATATAAATTTCGTGATTGTTTCAGCGATTAAAGCGTAGAAACTATACATTTTATTTTTAAATTATGGTGATGATGATTTCGCCATACATAGACAATATTTAAAATTGACTAGCTGACTCCGCAAACTCCATTCCGCCTCAAAATTAAACATATCAAAGGTTTTTTTTAAGTTTAGTTACGCAATTTCTGAGCGCACCCTATTTAACAGGTATCAGCTGTTTGTATGAGAAAATAAAATAGTTGTTTTTACTATTTTATATGCAATTTCTTCATATTTTATAACCTTTTAAACCTTCCCTGGACTTCCACGGAAATTTTAAGACTAAATTTATCCAATTGGTTCAGCCGTTCTCGAGTTTTAGCGAGACTAATGAACAGCAATTCATTTTTATAATATAGACTAGTTTACCCGCGTAATTTACCCGCTTTTTTTCATCATTTTTCGTTGCAACTCCGCTTGTACTGGAAATTCTATGATGTTGTTCTGACTCGCGTAACTTCGTCTCCATCGCACTTACTTGACATTTATCATTATATTTTACGCAATTTACATAATATCTTTTTAAATTATAGCGTATAAGTTATTTTTGATGTATAAGCTATATCACTGTAAAGTTTCATCAAAATATGTACATCAGTTTTTGCGTGAAAGAGTAACAAATATCCATCCATACTCACAAACTTTCGCGTTTATAATATTAGTATGATAGCCTTTAGATAAATGCACTATCCAACAATAAAAGAATCTTTGAAATCGGGTCAGTAATACCGCATTATTTCGAACGTCATAACTCACAAATGATAAAAAGTTTGTGAGTTTCGATATTCGGTGTAAACTCGTTATTATTAGTAAATTAAAATACTTTGAAAATCTAAATAACTCACATTGCAATCTTAGTTTGGAAGTCGATTGAAAACTGAATACTATTAATTGTCTATTAACATTAGTCACAGTTTTCAAACGAGAACCGATAGGTATGTTTATAAAAGTTTGCCAAGTCAATTAACTGTCTTACAAGAAATTAGAGATTCCAACGTAATTTAAAATGATCATTGAATTAACCAGGCGTTAATATTAAATTTTACAAATCTTGAGATATTTTTTAATCACTTTTATTACTTTACAATTATTCGGTTTCGCATGGATACAATACAAATCTTTGAATTTCTTGGCTTGTTCTATATTGTAACACGCATGTATTATACATATAAATCTTCTTCCTGAATCACTCTATCTTTTAAAAAAAAGCGCTTCAAAATCCATTTCTTAGTTTTAGAGATTTAAGCATACATATGGACGGACAGACGGCGACAGCGACATAGTTTTATACTATGTAATAATAATGTAATGAAAATTTTATTTTCAATTTATTTATTTATTAGTTGGGTGCGTAGATTGACAGACTTAAATCGTGTATTTTTAATAGTTCAGTGTTAATAACACTTTTTATTAAATGCAGGGGGTCCATGAAGATACAAAAACCGCTAAAGGTCACCATGACACAGAAGACCATCTTGGCAAATATGACGACCACGCGGGCATCGACAAGCACCACCTCGACGAAAAGAATCACTATGGTGCCCACCATCATGAAGAACATGGAAAAAAACACGCTAAGGTATGATTCTCTGTCCTTTTGACCGCTGAAAAGTATTATATGATCATGCGGAAAAGATGAGATGTGCTGGCTGGTTATAATGCTTATTATTTGAATTTAGAATTATCTATTTTGAATAATATTTTGGCGGGAAAACAAGTTCGTCAAGTAAATATTTTTAAATTATTTATACGAGGCAAACATGTGTGCTTTGTCTTATGTTTTTTGAAAATGGGATTAAGGTAACTTTCTTTTAAATTTTAACAAGAAGAATCTGACAAATAGAACATAACTGACAGGCTTTTCATAAGTGTATCAGTTATGTACAGACTTTAGAACACTAAAAAAAGGGTTGTCTTTTGCCTGATACTCACTTATTTACATAAATTCATACCCCCCTCCGATCGATCCCCCGTCCAATTCAAACGGGGATCGAAATTACGACGGCCTGAGCCGAGGTTCGAACACCTAACTTTGCCCTCAGACTAAAGTCGTATCCGTCAGGCAGGAGTTGGCCTTCAGCCGCTCCATAAGTCCTTCCGCGGGTTTGGAGTGCCATCTGCACTCGCCTCCTAACGTCCGGTGAAGCTGTAAAGGCCAGCTGCGGCCAACAACATTAGAGTAGTCCGAAAAAAAAATCATACATAAATTAAGTAATTTCAATGCCATACATATAATAACCTATACGTGACATATTTTTTATTTAAAAAGAACATATTACAATAAAATAACACTCATTCTCTATGATTTAGAGGTAATAATATGCTCTCTTCTATATCATTTACAGGTAATATGTTTTTAGATGAATTATTGGGAAGTAATGTTATTCTAATTTTAGTTTTAATTTAATTTATTTACTGATAAACCCTATCCGTATACAATAGATACAATTAATATTTCTGGTGACAAAATTATTATAAACAAACTCATCTTTGATTATAATTCGGCGGAGCTACATAATACGAATCTCCTTTATTTTTATGGTAACAACAATTTATGGTAAACTTGCGTGTTTACCATAAATAGTTGTTACTATAAAAATCTTTACCTTACCGCTAGCACTTCGTTTCCGAATAGCATATGATTAACTATAATAATGTCGCAAAAATCTGAAGAAGCTTGTTTAACCAGAATAAAATTCTCAGCTGTAAAGTCCCGAATGGTATACAATAATGAATATAAAAATCTCAACCATAAATTCGATGACGGAAATCAGGTAAGTTATATAACTTAAAGTACATACCTTCAATATTTTAATACCACTATTCTCTAGTATGAGGAGTCGGGCAAACATTCCAAGGGGCACAGCACAAAAGGTAGCCACGACATCCACAAGAAAGAAGAATACGAGAAGAAAGTGGAGTTTTTCGAAGAGGAAGGGGATTCCGCAGAAGAAGAGAAACATGGCGGTTATGCTAAAGAGAAGGAACACGCAACGGTAAGTCAAACTCCTTTGATTAGTTGTAACTCTTCTGAATCTTAAATGTACGAGGCTTCTTATAAAACTAAAGTTATTTTTAGCACATTTAATAAATAAAACTTAGTTTAAACTAAGTTTTTAGATGATAACATATCACGTACAGCAATCAACACTACAGCTGAAGATACCAATCTTCACAGGAAAATATACCCATTGTTATGTATGTATTTACAAAAAATATATATATCTAAGTATATTACAATAAGATACCAAATGATATATTGGAATTACCCTTAAATAAATTCAAAATAGTTGTTAAACCATATTTACTGAGCAAAGCCTATTACTCACTAAACGATTACTTGAAAGACGAGCGTGCATGGCAATAGTTGTTCATGCACTGGATTTCATTCATGCATCATTTAATTTTAGACATAGACACCTATATAAATATTAAATTATAAATAAACTGACTTTTAAAAAAAGAAATTCAATAAAGATTCGTGCCAGTTCTTCTCAATTGGATCTATATAACGGACGGTAGCGAAAAAATTAAAATTATAATGTAAAAATTTGACGTTCATAAGCGGCTAAAATGTCCTACATGAATAAATGATTTTGAATTTGAATTTAAATTAACTGATAGACTAGTACCCTTATGGTCTACTATACTAGTCTATCAGTTTTCATAACACAAGCTCTGCTTACCATGGGACTAGATGGCGATGTGTTAATTGTCCAGGGTTATTATTATCAAATTGGACCAAAATTTAGAAAGTAACTAAGATGACTTTGCTCTGTCTACCTCCGTACAACTAAAAAAACTGAATACTCGAATGTCCTTCACCCCTAAATCGGATCGAGGGAAATCGATTCATCGGCATCCAGAATCGATTACAAATCGTCTCTCCAAAACACTCGCAATCGTTGAGAAAACATCTGATGATCAAATTGAAATTGATTTCACACATTAACAACCGTTGAAGGATGCAAGTCTATTTTTAAATAGTAAAAATGCTAGCGAATGAAGTAGTAAAGTAATTTCTTAGTTCAGCACGACTTTCAATATCGACGGCCTCAGTGCTCTAGCGGTTTTACACATCGCCGTATATCCGATGGTTGCAGGTTTGATTCCACGTACGGACAAACATTTGCATTTATGAGTACGTTTGTATATAATACTCGGTCTGGGTGTTTTTTATGTATATCATGTATGTATTTATTTAAAAAAATGTATTTATGTACTTATATTAATAGTCTTTTTTCTTGTGGATGATAATGGAATGGTGCGCTCGCCTACGCTATCGGTTTACGCTGGCAGGGCACCAGTGGAGGAAAATGATCGTGAAGTAAGGGCAGTTAGCTCATCGTGGTAAATTCACAAGGAATTTATCACGATGTTTTCCAAGGAGAACAGCATGGAGGTCCACCTGATGTGGTACATTGCTAGCAATGGGGTTCTAAGTCCAATGTGGACTTAGAACCACAACCACAACCATCAACAATTCCCTTCCTAGTATAGTACCCATAACACAAGCTCTGATTAGCTTGGAACTACATGGTGCTGTATGAATTGTTTTGACATATTCTTATACTACATTACGGTGTACGTTAAAAAAAAGTTAAATTCGATATAGTGATGATATGTTAGTTTCTTGAGGGACTGCATGAAGGTGAATTTATAGTAATAATATTTTATAAATATATTTTTCCCGTTCTTTTTAAGAAATTCTAAATAGGATAAAAATTATTGCACGAACAAATGTCAATTCGAAATTATGAAGTAATATTATGCTAAGAAATTCCAATTACGTTAAAAAAGATTGCACAAACAAATGCTAGTTCAAAATTTCGAAGCAATATTATATATTTCATTCTGTATGACATAACGCAATAGGTTCAGAAATTCAAAATCATTTAATATTCTTTCACTACAATACACGTTTTTTATGCGTATGAACTGAACTGAACAGTTCTTTTCAACTGAAGTAGCGAACTGAACAGTTTTCAGTTCGATACTTCAGTTGAAAAGAACTGGCAAGAAACACAACTGGTGCATTTTAAAAAATCAAACTATTTAGATATATCTTATGTACATTTTATATATTTGCAAAGTTCTTAGATTTCGTATTCCATAATCTTGATATACAATTGTTGTCTAATATATATAAAACTAGCTGTTCCCACGACTTCGTCCGCGTGGAATTTAACTTTATTTTTCTAAAATAAAAGTAGCCTAAGTACTCCTTATTACATCAGGTACCTGCCAAAAAAAGTCCCGTCAAAATCGATCCAGCCATTTCAGAGATTAGCCGGAACAAACATACAGATAGAAAAAAATTATAAAAAATCTTATTTTGGTGTATGTAAGGTATTTATATTCATATGCATGTAGTAAAAAACGGTTATTTCAATATTACAAACAGACACTCCAATTTTATTTATATATATAGAACTCAATATAACAATAAACGCAAACATGTATTATCTATGTCACAGATAACATAATATAACATTCTATGCTAACCTTTTTTATCGCTGGCCAAAAAGAATTGACTCGTTCGTTATTAAAAAAAAAACATCGACTCAAAAAAGGCGGGAACGAAACACGTTTTCCCGCCATTATTCTTCTCTACTAATTTGTATTGCATAAAACCCCGACCGTCACAAATTAATTCTGTTTTTAATATAGTCTGGCCTTATTTTTTGTACATTAAACCGCATTATCTGATATCTATTGAGTGTTGTAACCCATTGACGCTCATTTTCGTACAATTTTTGCAATAGTGAAGATGAAGGTCAATGACATTGGTTGGTTATATTTTTTTACAAGGCTTGGGTGTTTTTATTTGGTGACATTTGGAGTGCACGCAATTTTAATTACAAAAAATAAAACACGGCAAAGGAATTTAATCATAATGTTTTATATTGAAATCTATACATATAAATAAAATTGGAGTGTCTGTTTGTAATATTGAAATAACCGTTTTTTACTACATACATATGAATATAAATACGGTACATAACACCAAAATAACTTTTTTTTAAATATTTGTCTGTCTGTCTGTGTATCTGTTTATTCCGGCTAATCTCTGAAATGGCTGGACCGATTTTGACGGGACTTTTTTTGGCAGATAGTTGATGTAATAAGGAGTAACTTTTATTATAGAAAAATAAAGTTAAATTCCACGCGGACGAACTCGCGGGAACAGCTAGTAATAAATATGTTTGGCAAATTATCATTTATTCATGGCAGGGCATGTAATGCGTAGGAATAAAGAGAATGTTTGAAAGAATGTGTTATATATGTACGTGGATGGTTAAAAGGGCAGAGGAAGGCCGAAAGGGAGTAAATAACGAGATGACTGCGAACAGAGATGAATGGAAAAGAAGAACATATCATGCCGACTCGAAATGAATGGACTATGGAAGAAGTAGATGATATATTATGATGAAGGCAGGTCCTTCGAAATAATAATATATGATAGCTAGGTACCACAAAAGTGATTTTACGTCGTTTTCGTTTAGTTTAAAGTTCTTAGAGTCAGCGACATCTAGTCCCAAGCTAAGCAGAGCTTGTGTTACGATTACTAAACAACTGATATAAATACTTATATATTTTTTCTGTAAATATATACTTAATATATATTGAAAACACCCAGAATACAAAGAATCATACTCATAAATATAAATGTGTGCACCGTGTGAGGAATCAAAGCCCCGATCATCGGAAGTGAAACAGCGTGCTAAACCTCTAGTCCACGGAGTTGAAGTTAGTCTACAGTTTCCGTTTTGTAATCTTTGTTTCTCATAAATTCAAACTAAGAGCGCTTATCGTGGTTTATATTAAAAAATAAAGTTAAAAATCTTAACTTACCTCGTAGTTATAGCAGATTACACTAATGAATAAAGTTCTATTGCGTTAGAGAAAACTAGTTAAGTTGCTGGTTTTTTATATGACTTTATGTACCGATTTCAAAATAACTAGATGATCCTACCTTTAATATACTACCTTTTTAATTAATTAACCAATTATTTTTAAAAATGATACTGATAGAGTTCGTACAAACAGTTATAAGACTTTAGTAGTCTCGGCTCTATGCGTACAACGGCCCAAATAAGAGACAGTAGAGTTAGTACAAACAGTCATAAGACTTTAGTAGTCACGGCCCGTTGCATGAGCTGCGCGAACGAAGTAGTGGGCACAGCTAGTAGAAATAGAAATAGAAATAGAAATAATCTTTATTCAAATAAACTCATTACAAGCACTTTTGAATAGTCATATTTTGATTCTACCACTCATTCGGAATGCAGATTCATCACAAGAAGAATGAGCAAGAAACTTGTGTGTTGCTCTTTTTAATAGATGTTTTTTTTTTACATAAATAATTACAGTGTAACAAGTAAGAGGCATGCGACAATCAACATAGAAATCGCTACGCACTCATTATTAGTGTAATCAGATAATATTGTCAGTGCTATGTATTTAAAATTTTTCTAGAAAAACATTATTATCGTTAACGAATTCTTCAATTTTATAGTAAGCTTTTTTGCAAAGGAAGTGTTTTATTTGACATTTAAATCTTTTTTCTGGCAGATTTATAACAGACTCTGATATTTTATTGTAAAACCTTACGCAATTGCCATAAAACGAATTACTAACTTTAGCCAAACGACATTTAGGTAAAATCAGTTTGTTATTGTTACGTAAATAATATAGTAAATAATAAAAATGATGGTAGATGATGAGTAATGATGACTTAACAATATTTAATCAACAATTTTGTAATCTGCAAAATTGTTATCGTAATGTTCTAACCTTTAAAAAAAAAGACACGCCTCTTCATGTATATCGCATGCACGCCCCGTGTTACTGTACTAATCTACGTAGTTTTTTTTACGATAGGCCTTGTTTTTTACGTAACTGGAAAGAAAGCTGGAGATTAAAGATAGATAATTTATTTAATAATAATAATCTGAGGACAATTCACACAGCGCACTCCAGCGTCACACAGATCCAAGTTAAGCTAGCTAAAGCTTGTGTTATGGGTATTAGTTATCTAATACAAATATAGATATTTTCCTTTTTGTAAATACATACGTATAAATAGAAATCACCCAAACTGATACAAACAATCATACTCATGAATACAATCTTTGTGCCATGCGAGGTCGATCGAACCTGCTACCATTGGAAGTAAGGCGGTGTGCTAAACCGCTAGACCGTCGAGACCATCAAATTCGTCTTCCGTTATTTGCTTGTACAGTGTAGATCCTACAAGTGTATAGGAGGCATGCAAAATTACATTTCTTCTTAATGACTTTCAAATTAATCTTAAATAATTAAAATCTTACTAGCATTATGTAGTATTAAAAAAAACACCCACACTACGCCGTTTTTGGCGGGAAAATGGTCGTCTCGCCAAATAGAGAGGTAGCGTGGATGTTTTTAAATATCGAGCCAAAATTACACTTAAAATAGTCTAAAATATTCATATGTTACAATCTACGATTTACGGCCTCGCTAGTTTAGGTTTAGCACACCACTTTAGAATGGTCGTGGGTTTGATACCGATATTTTCGATGGTTTTTATGAATTATAATAGAATTAAGTACACGCCTGCGCTAACATTTTAACATGCATGAGTGGAGAATGATAAGTTAAATATGAAGTCAGGTCAGTTCCAATTCGCCAGGATTTTGTCATAATGGTTTCCAGGGGCAACCGAGTTGAGGTCAACTTAACACTCCCCCTGTATTTTCTATGTATATTATGTATGTATTTACAAAAAAAAATGTTTTTACCAATCCAGAACAACCTTACCCTCGGGTAAAGTTGTGCTGGATTTAAAATTAATTTATGTTTACAGGGTGGTCATATGAAACATGGTAAACTCAACGCTGGTCATCAGGAGCACTCTAAAGGTGACACCGGCCACTATCAGAAAGGTGGTCACGGATACAAGGAAAAGGTAAGCTTATTCTAATTCTTACAAAGTTCACTTTTAAACAACTCTCGGAGTAGGGGACGATTAGAAATCATATAAACATGGTAAACTCAACGCTGGTCATCAGGAGCACTCTAAAGGTGACACCGGCCACTATCAGTAAGGTGGTCACGGATACAAGGAAAAGGTAAGCTTATTCTAATTCTTACAAAGTTCACTTTTAAACAACTCTCGGAGTAGGGGACGATTAGAAATCATATAAACATGGTAAACTCAACGCTGGTCATCAGGAGCACTCTAAAGGTGACACCGGCCACTATCAGTAAGGTGGTCACGGATACAAGGAAAAGGTAAGCTTATTCCAATTCTTACAAAGTTCACTTTTAAACAACTCTCGGAGTAGGGGACGACTAGAAATTATATACATTAATTATAAATAGGACTATATTTAACATCTCTTATTAATTCCCATCTTTCTACAAATAACGTAAGTATTTAATATTTTCTATTTCCAATAATAACAACATCATAGTTTCTAAAACTGTTCTATATCAACACTATTAGTCGTTACTGTAATATAGCTATACTTACTATCAATTACTAATTATAAGTAAAAATAATTTCTATATTAATTGTCGCATGCCTAATCCTTGTTAATGTGTATTTACTTAGAACAACATTTATTTAAAACACGCAACAACACGCAAGTTTCATGCTCATTCTTATGATGATACTGCGTTCCAAATTAGTGGTAGAATAAAAAAAATGCGACTATTCAAAAGTGCTTATATGAAGTTTATAATATATTTAAATAAATAATTAATTTATAATTATGTTTATTATTCCTATTTCTCTTATAACTTTCACACACTGGATTTTAATGAAAATTCACAATTATATAGTTTATGCATCAAATTAATACATACGCTACAAATTGCACATGGGTAAAAGCGCAGGCACAGCTAATCTTACAGAAATAACTTGCTTTGACTTTGACTCTACATATATAAAAGAAAATTCTGTACAGAAACCTCTTACTTAAAAACAGTTGCAAACAAGGTAACGTATTTATTCGTTATATTTACACACGTCATTCTCGTGGCAATATTTAAAGTTCAAATCACGTACATCCATCTAGGTTCTTATTACATAAGAAATAAAGCTTATTTTTCAGTTACCACTCACTTAGATTTTTTGGATCTCGTTTATTTATCCAGGAGATTATTTGCAAACATTTTTCATGCAAGCCCGTGAAGCAAAACACTTAATATTTTACCTAGTATAAGTGTATTATATTTTTCGTCATACTAATATTGTAAATAAGAAACTGTTTCTGTTTGTCGGTTTGTTACCTTTAATTTTATGATTCAGTCGTTTTGTCAATTTTACATAGCTTATCTTTTATTCAAAGAAACCGATTAATTTGTGGACTTATTATATTCACCCTATTTTTTATCTTTGACTCTGACCTGTTTAACTGTATCGTTTAACCAACTTAAATATATGTTTAATATTAACAGTTTTTAACTAAACAAGATGTTTATTATTATTATTAATTTAAATTAATAACATGTTTATTATTATTATTTGACAGCCTCGGTGATCTAGTGGTTTAGCACACCGATTTACTATCCGATGGTCGTGGGTTCGATTCCTCGCACGGTACAAACATTTGTATTCATGAGTATGTGGCGGCGCGGGTGAAATAAATATTGTTTGATTTTGATTTAAGTGGACTGTATCTAAATAATCTGACGGGTACGTGGATTGACACGATACACTGTTAGGTTGGTGATTGAGAACTGCTTGTGAGGATGGAACACAAAGAAAGACAGTTCTGGTAAGGAAGGAGGCACAGTACCTTTGAATTGTAGGTTGCAGTGCGGCGGCTATCGGTGTCTCCAGGTCCCAGCTACTTGCTTCACAACAATGGCACAAACACAATGGTCTTAAACACACTAGAGCGATGCGGTGGATTAAAATGTTTAGTAATTATCACGAATTACAAAAAACTTGATCTTAAGCGCGATCAAGGCGGGAATTCAATGTCAACTTCAGCGTTCAATTTAACAGTGACGCGCGAGCGCGATATGTCACTTTCGATACAAGCGAATCTTCTCGCTCGCACTTAAAACAAAGGTATGTGCGGGAATAGGAGAGGATAAAGGAATTAGTGTAGTGCCAATCCTTAGAAAATTAACGTTTCGTACCACGCTAAATTATTTATTTGAACAAACTATTACTAATAATAATTATACAATGATAAACAAAAATGTAATGTTATATGGCGCAACCATTCCCCCCCGCCTTGAAGGGACGCCTTCAAAGTAAAAATAGAAACTTAAAATAAACTAAACCTTAACCTAGAACTCGTATTAACTAAAACTAATGTCTAGGTAAGGGGCACAGACGTACAACCGGATGCAAATAAGAGCCGGTTGCAGTTTTTTACACGAACAACTCGAATTACGCCGTCAGAAGCCGGAAAGACCTCTTCAATAACCCCTAAAGGCCAATGAAGTGGTGGCGCGTTTTCAGTACGTACAATCACAACAGTTCCGACAGTAATCTGATTGATGGGCGTATTCCATTTTTCGCGAGATTGTAATGTGTGCAGGTACTCCGCTCTCCATCGCTTCCAGAACGTTTGCACTAATCTGTCTAATAATGCGTGGCGTGAAATCAAAGAACTGTCAGCTATTTCTGCGGCGGGCAAATATTTCAACGGAGTAAAATTTAAAATATGTGCGAGTGTTAATAATTTTGCGAAACGACAGACATAAACTACGCAGCGAAGAAGCTTGGACCAAGAAGAAAAGCGATTTGCCAGAGCGATGAAAACAGATTCTTCTGGCGGTGTACGAGTAACAAAGGAGAGTTTCTTCTCCTCAGGCGGGTCCATAACAGCAGAAGGATTGAAAGCGGTAACTGGCCATTCCGAAAAGGTGGATTTAGCCCACTGCGGGCCGCTGAACCATAGGGGGTGGTGAATTATTTGGGCAGGAGTAAGCCCTCGCGATAGACAGTCGGCTGGATTGTCCGAACCAGACACGTGATAAAAATTATGCGGTGAAAGCAGAGATTGAATTTTAGAAACTCTATTTGCGACAAAAGTATCCAACCTGTGGGGAGATGCGTGGATCCAACATAAAGCCACTGTTGAATCAGAAAATGCGTGTATTGCATTAATTGGATAGCGGTTATTAACAGCGGTAACAATATTATTAATTAAATTAGCGAGCAAAAGCGCTGCGCAAAGTTCGAGTCGGGCCAACGACACGACCTTGCGGGGTGCAACCTTAGATTTTGCACTTATAAGATGCACAGTACTCACACCATCATTCTCGACGTGGAAGTACACAACAGCACCATAAGCCTTTTCACTAGCGTCTGCGAAGCCAATGATGTTCACCACACTGCGTTTTGTGATGTCAACATGGCGCGGTAATTTAATTTGATCTAGACTGGGGAGCTCATCCCTGAAACGTGACCATTGTCTGACGATAACTTCAGGGGGGGCGTCGTCCCAATCGCAGTTGCATAACCATAACTCTTTGACAAGAAGTTTGGCAAATAATATAACGGGTGCTACGAAACCCATTACATCCCACAATCTTGCGACACAAGATAAAATGGTGCGTTTTGTACACTTTTCAGCGGGCGTGCAAATTTTTAAACTAAATAAATCAGAGCTGGGAGACCAGCACAGACCCAGAATTTTATGCGTATCAGACACATCGAATTCTACGACTGATGAAAGTCGATGTGTTGACGGAATGGAATTTAAAACTACTTGCGAGTTGCTCGTCCATTTGACAAGATCAAATTGTCCGACCTTCATGAGTGAGATGATCTCAGCAGCTGTGACGATAGCCTCATCTTCACTATCTAGACAATATACTAAATCATCCATGTACAGACCGGTGTGAACCGCTTCCTTAGCTTTTGGGAACGATTCGCCTTCGTCGGTGGCTAACTGCTTAATAGTACGCAGTGCAAGAAACGGACTCGATTTGAGTCCAAAACAAACGCGATTAAACTGATAAACCTGGAGAGGTTCGTCAGGCGAAAATCTATACAATATGCGTTGAAATCTGCGGTCACTCTCTCTAATACGAATGCAAAGAAACATTTGCCTAATATCGGCAGAGAGAGCTACTGAAAATAATCTGAAGTTAACTATAATATCAAATAAATTGCGTTGTAAATTCTGTCCATTATAAAGAAGATCGTTGAGAGATACGGACGTGCTAGTTTTAGCGCTAGCATTGAGTACGACGCGCAATTTAGACGTGAGTTTATCTTTTCGAATAACTCCATGGTGCGGTATTATATACGAAGGAGCATTACTATCATCATTAACGGGTGCGGGTGAAATATAACTCTTATCTAAATACTCCGTAATGACGTCATCATAGGCTTGCTTGAGTTTAGGCGAAGCCTGCATTTTGCGTTCGAGACAAAAGAAACATTTCTCGGCTAATCGACGCGAGTCGCCAAGAGAATGTGCATTACCCTTGAAGGGAAGCGCGACGGTATAACGACCGTCGTCCTCGCGAGTGGTAGTGCCAGCATAAATAGCTTCACACTCCTTGTCGTCCGGGCTGAGAATCGGTGTAACATTCACCTCTTCCATTTCCCAGAATCTACATAGAACGGATTCCATCGTGGGTTCGGTAACACAACAATGCGCGGTGGTAGTGTAATTACAATTATCTAACATATTAGACACGGAAGTATCGGTATTTGATCTAGCGGGAGCTGAACCTACAATAACAAAGCCTAATACGGTCTCAATAGCATACGGCGAGACGTATGCGGGTTGACCTTTAACCTTACGGGACAATATTAAATGCGGGAAAATTGAGGCACCGATTAACATGTCAATGTTCCCAGGAGTAGCGTAACTATCATCGGCTAAAGGCAAATTTTTAAAATTTGAAAATAATGAAATATCGACACTAACAGTCGGTAAACGTTCGGTTATTTTATCTACAACTAAGGATTCCATATCAAATTTAATA